TCCAGCAGCCTTCGTGCAATGAAAACTGAACAGCAGCAGCTCTGGCTGTTCAGCAACAGCTACTCGGGGTGACTGACGGTTGCCACATCTTAGCCCTCTTACCTGAAAAAAAGAGTACATCTTGCACTCTGCGCCCCTGTGTAGGGGTAATGATCGTTTCTTCCTTGGTAACTCTGGTTTTACTCTGAAACGCTTCAGAGCACAGCAGGCATTTGGGAAAACTCTGAGAATAGATCTTTTTGTTACATGATAGCAATGAACTGTAAGTGCTTACTTAAAAAAAGAAAAACCGCTTTTACTCCCCTCTGATTTGCCGTCATGCTCACATCCGCTTTTCTGTCATGACCCCTGGTAGTGCAGGGATTTCCTTGGAAAAAAAGCACCAAGACAGAAATGCTCATCCTCTATTCACTCTGAATACTTATTCACTCCATATACTTAAAGGAAAGTGAAGAGTAACTCAGCATCTCCCTTCTTTCACCTCCTGTTTCCAGCCGCTCTTCATGTTTGTGGCAGCTGTGTTGATAAATCTCTTTAATGTCTTTAGGTGATTAACGCTCTCTTTTCTATGGCCCTGATCCAGCTCAAATAAATTTGTTTGTATTGAGTTCAAAATACTATTATTAAGTGTGAAAAATGTCCCTAATCTGTCTAAAGTAGAGAGCAGACAGCCTGCCAGCAGACAGTCTGTTTGTACCAGTGGTATATATGCCATTTGAGTTCCGGGGTCTCATTCAGCACTGCTGTGCTGCGCATAAGCATATTTGTGTATAAACACATATCTATGTCTAGAAATACCACCAAAGTCCTTGAAGTGAATTTCCAATCTTTCCCCCTTTTTCTTCTAGAACACAGTTACTAATGTTACCGGTTTGATATAAGCTACAAAAATATTTCAGGACTTACCTCTAATTCTGTTAGCTATTTTTTTAATGGAGAAAAGCAGCGTAAACACCTATGACTTGTGCGTATATCTAATTGCATTTCAAGTAAATAACTTGTAAAAATGGGAACTGTCCTGACAAACCGACTTACATGTCATAATACAAAACACGGAATACTACCTGTTCGTGAAAGCTGTGGACACAAACTATTTTATATAAGAAGGCCAAAATTATTTTTTAAAAGTGATTCTGCCTCAAACTTACCCTCTTTTTTTTTCTTTTTTCTCTTATCCCAATTCCCCACCACCCTTTTCATGCTAACATTTAAATTCATTACTTCAGTTTGAGTAGCTTTGACTTACTTACAGAATCATTATATATGTAGCTGTAGCTGAGCAACAGAGTGGTGGTAGCGTGTATGTAAGAAGGAAAAGCGGAAGAGAAAGATGTCCTTAAGTACGCTACTGCTGCCTATATTCTCTTCTGCGGCCTGCCAGCATATAGAGAATAGTGTTACAAAAAGTGTTTTCAGCGATACTTTGTAATAGAAGTATCTTGGATATTAAGTCCGAATCCCGAAGTTGTTACATAGTTGCTTAACTAATGACAGACTATTAACGGTTGACACTGTGACCCCACGGCAATTAGAATTGTTTGTTTATTTCAGCTGAAGAGCAAGAAAGAAAACAAAACAAATTGTATTTTCCAGAATATGTTTCTTCCTGATAGTAATGAATTATGCACCGGGTTATGATTCGTATTTAAGGACATATAGATTTGTGTTCTTCCTTTTTTTTTTTTTTTTTTTTTTTTTTTTTTTTAAAGGATATTAACGAGTACATCTTTTCAGAATAAATGTTGATGTTCGTGTGATATCCACAAGATGGCATGCAATGCCTTCTTTTTCAGCGTCTGTAGGTTTGGGCTTAAGGTTTACAATCTTCTCAGAAACAGAGAAGACCTTGAGAAATAGTAAGTCAAGGAAGTATTTGTTTAAGAACTACGTGGTTAGGTAATTTCACAGAAGTCTAACTGATGACTTCTATTTCATTCTGTCAAATAGTTGTAATGTTAATAATTTCTATCAGTCATCATGATGGATTGCTGTGATCCAGCTAAAAACTTAAGCCATCCTTGATACAGGACATGTTTTTCTTTTGTTTGTAATTGTACCTAGTTCATATTGGAGGGGGGGATCTTGAGTAGAATTTAGTTACCTGTACTAAAATTTAGTAGAGTTAATAAACATGTTTCTTCCAAAAGTGTCATCAAATTTTAGCAATGAGCATGTCTGCTAGCATTGTCAGCCAAGAGAAGAGCAGTTTGATCGTTCATACCTGCAATGAGAAAACTCAGGCGCTATTTCAGGCAGCTAGGAAGGAACTTCTGTTCCCTGCTTTTGCTACTTTATCTACAGCTATTGTGGTTAGTGAAAAGGGTTTAAATATTTTTCTAGTATATATATACAGCCATAGAAAGCAGAATAAAGAAAACAGAGCGTGTGCTATGTCATCTGTGTAGGGCCCGTGCCAGGTTACCTGACTGAAAATAAGCTTTATGGACTCATCATACTAACCAATGTTTAATGCAGTGCAGCACAAACTCTGTTCATCTTGTTTCATAGTAAAACATATGACTTGTATCACATCACAACCCTGTGCCAGAGTCCCTGCCTCCTGCTGCCATGCTGCAAAAGGGTGCATTCCTAGGCATGGCTTAAGGTAGGAGCAGGAATATCCCGTTTCCTCCATGTAAGATGGGAAACTAGCAAAAAAATATCTGCTTGATACTGTGATATTCTAGGGCTGTCCTAGCCAAGCTGGAAATTCTTGTTACACCAGGCTTGGTGAAATATTCAGCAGATGACTCAGAGAAAAGGGTGCCGTGTAGTAAAACTAGTAGCATTTTAACCAGCTCCTTGGAAGTTTCCATTCCCAGCATACAAAACTCTCACTGATTCAGGAGTTCAATCCAAGGACACTCTGGCACACCTTACTTTTAGTGGGCTGAAACCAGGTGATGAAATCAGAGTACAAAGACATATACAAAACACTCTTGCAAGAGTGTCTAATAAACACACCTACTTTGAAAGTATTTTTTCTGTAATTTAGTCTGGAATAGCACAACACAGAAGTTTGTTTTTGTTTTTTTTTAACAGTCTGAAGTTTTGCTCTATTTGAAAAGCCACGTTCGTCTAGAAGAAATAACTGCAGATTAATGTGATGGCTAACAAGACTGCGTTAGATTACAGTGAAGCAACAGGTGCTATCAATGTCTGCATAGTAAGGCATAGCTGTTATCTACTGAACAGCTTCTGGTAATTATAGAAAATTCAAGCAACTACCATTTGTACGTTACTAAACGATGTGTGAGAGACAAAGGTTGCAGTAACTGCATTACCGGTGCAATTCAGATATTGCAGAAATATGACATAAAGGTGTAGAGCTTGATGCTTTTTGAAAGGTTATATCAATGTGTTCAAAAATTCCCTGAGCTTTTTAATCACTATTTCTCTTTCTAGTGTCTTTTCTCTACACTGAAGCCTCAACTGGCTTCTTGAAAAATGCACAGCACTGCTTTCAACTAGCTTAACCGCTTTCATTTGTCTCTGCACAGCATTGTATTGTGCCATGTGGACATCCTTCATGGTTAGCGCTTAAAATTATCTAAATGTTAAAACTGCTGAAGAACCCAAGCTTTTTTTGCAAAAAGCCTTTAAATGCATTTTACAGCCCTCCTTATTCATCCATTTTCCAAAAATAGTTTAATAGGTGTCTCAGATTAAATAACTGGGATCTAACTATTCCTGATTTGGCTGAATCATAACGATAGCCATCTGAATGTCAGGTGTATATCACACATACTTTTTCCAGTCACAGCTGACCCAGATCAAAATGTTTGTGACCAGTCTATCACATATTATGAAAGCAATTAAAACCTTTGATTTAGATTTCTAATCTGCTACAAAATGAAAGACACAACACAGCATGGCTAATGGTTTGGTGCAATCTGCTGGAGAATCCTACCCACAGAGGCTTTGGTAGCACAAGAAAAGTAGAACAGGGCAGGGCATCTCAGGCAGCTTCCACTCTTGAAGATAACTAGATAAGATTCGTGTATGTTTGAGAGTCTGTGTTCCAAAATATCTTGCATTTCTCAACAATCAACATGGGTTGCTACCAGGCATCCCACAATGAAATGTAGACGAACAAGACTGGGGATGTCAGTGAAGTAGGTTAGGAGATGTTTACTGTATTGTCATGAGTTGTGCAATGCTTTGCAGATGAATAGATGTTAGGCAGCTTGGAGGTTAGCATCAAGCTATTTCTGATCAGTATTCCTGCAGAAATAGCATGTAAGCAGTAATAATGTGTTACAGGAAATAGTTAGATGAGACCTATTAAGAAAGCCACAAACAATGGGAGGGGCAATGGATTTTTCAGCTCATTAAATGTAACAAAAACCAAAAATAACTTCATTTCAGATTTTGGTGAATCTGAATAATTTCTGTTTTGGGTGAGTTGGAAAGCAAAAAGATTAGATACCAAAATATTTTCTGACCTAGAACTTAATTCCCACTTTTCATGGGGAAGAATAGAAGGCAAAGATGCTAAAGGCTTACAGAAAACGGCAATCTCTCAGAGGGAAGAGCCTATTAGAAGCGCATAAGAGGGAATGAGTATGGAGATAAAAGGAGCAGATATTTGATGCCTATGAGACTTCACAAGTCTGGGAACACTTTACAAAAGAAAGTAAGCCAGTTTGTCAAAACCATCTGCCTTTACTGCAAGAACTGGTTTCACAATGACGTAAAGAATAAAAAATTGAACCAGTGACTACTGGACTCGTTCATGAAAGTTGTATTTAGAAGCGCTGGGAAGAACAGTACCTGCTCAAAACCACAAGAGACATACTGCCCCGGTCGTAGATTTGCTTTTTTAAGTCCAGGAATACCCTGCATAGGCCCTCATCTCTATTTTCTTTACGGTTTATGGAAAGCTGAAGAGGCTTTGTTAATGTTCAAGCTACAAGGGAGAAAGCTTTTTCACCTATGCAATAGCATCAGAAAGAGCAGAAGATTAAAATGATTGTCCTAGTGACTGACATTGCAGGGAGGAGGTAATGAAGGAAATGGCTGCAATGTTTTTCCCTGCATGCTAATTATCATTTTTTTAAGATCATTTTCTTTTTTCCTTCCCCGGGCTTGCTGTTACAGCCTTGTTCACACACTAAGCAATGGCTGAGCAAACAAGAAAGATTCTGGTGAAAATTTCTCATTGTTAAAAGGAACCTGGAGTTTATAACACTCCTGCCATCACCAATATGTGGTGCCGGTTCCCAAGCACGTGCAGAGCATGTCTGCGTTTGTGACAGCACTGCCATTTATATAAGGCAACCACTCTTTCATTTAGCAGTCTTCTTTCTGCTGTGTATTGAAGAAACGGCCTAATCATCGCTTGTGCCTGCCACTGCAAAGAGACCCTTCTCTGTGCATGCTATTTGACTGCAACCTTGTGCTTTCTTAACACAGGAAATATTTGCACAACAACGAAGGAAAGTGTTAGCCATAGTTTCCACTCTTGGTTTTTGGGCTACATTCCAATTGCTGTGCACACAATCCCAGTACTCCTGCAAGCAGCCTGTGCCAGACCCATCCATGCTGTGGACAGAAGGGTTACGCCGCACCAGTCTCCCAAAAGGTGCCTCACTATGGGCAGACCAGTCACTTGCCCTTGCCAGTAAACCTGGCCTGGTGCTGCCCTACCCATCTACAGAGTCAAACCAAAGCTATGAATACAAAAGACATGTACAAAAAAGAAGCCCAGAAGTAATACAAGACCAATTTCTGATTTCTTTTGTTTGGGGGCTAGGGGAGGGGAATAAAGCCCTAAAGTTAAAAGAGGAAGAAAAAATTGTGACCCTACCTCAAGCAATTCCTTCAATATTATTTTCTTCCAGTGATTACACAGCACAGACAACAGCAATACTGATTCCGTAAACGCAAACGCTCTAATAAACTAGATGAAGCGTAAAACTGCTTTCTATTAACCATATATAGATTTAAACAATTAAGGGCAAAATCAAGCTGCATTTCCTCCAAACTAGCTCTTCCCCCATAGACAGGCAAATTCTCATTAGAAGCAATATTTAGAAACAATAAGCAAAAGGCATTTTTTTCTGCTTAGTTCTTCTTAAATCATATCCTACCCCAATGTCAAACAGAGCACAACTCTAATATGTGCTATCCAATTGCAAAAAGATACGAAATATGAAAGGATAAAAGGCTGTACCTAGGGTCAGGGCTGAAAAAAAACAACTGTTATTCTATCCAAGTGTTTCCTGCTCTTTTTTTGCAACCCATCATGCATTTAGGGTGTGCAATGTGTAATAAATAATTATCACCCATATCAGTAAGCAAGGTGTTAAAGAAGAAAGTAACTCTACTGCAATACTTAGAATCGAACTGTTAAATCAGATTCCCTTTCTCATGTAACTCCTTCCAACTTCTTTGAAGTTCAAACCCTTTCACCATATTTTCTTTCTTCGTTCTCTGCAGTTTCTTTGACTTTTTACTCCACAGAGTGCAACCTATTGTGTTAATACCATTGCAAAAGCGGCAATGATGCATGTGCCAAACAGGGAAATGCCAAACAGGGCCGCAAATGAGGAGAATACGTCCTTTGGCTCAAGCATGGTGTCTAGTAGGTTATATCCTTAATTGGAAGTTTGTATTAAACAGCTTTTTGTAACTGGGATATCAGCCTTATTCCATCAACTTTTGCATCACCAATTTGCTTCACAGGGCTCCTTCCAGCATGACATTTGCGCTGTCTTCCACACCAAATGAGACCTGCTGGTTTCCAGTGAGTTCCTTGGTGGATGATGGAAAGTGACTGCTGGTAGTAATATGGGAAGCTAACTCACATGCCATGTGTGAGATCCGACAGAGCTGCTCTCCAAGCTGCTGCTGGGTCATTTTGTCTTGCCCTAAGACTTGCAAGGCTTGCATGGTCTGAAAAATGCAGCTGGTATGTTTGTTCCTAAATTAATTACATTGTGGAAGCACTGTGTGCTTCTCTCTCAGTTCTCCCAGTTAAGCTGCATCCATCAGAAATGAAAACAATGACTGTTTTGCTCATTGGGAGTTATAATTAAAAATCACTTCTTTGCCCCCCTCCTCCGCAAAAAACCCAAAACCAAAAACAACCTTCAGGATGGTTTTAGGACATCTCTTATTCCACTTACTTTCTCAAGGGTATCCTGAGCTGCAGAGATTCAAAACAGCCCATCTAACTCAGTACTAGATTCATGCGGAGATGTTCCAACTGGTTCTTCTACATTATTAATATCACTACCTCCTGCACTTGAATTGCTCATTTTGCCCCACACTATTTACCTTGGCAAAGAAATAGCAGTGGGAACCCATAATTTATGCTACAAAACAGGCTGAGCAGAAGATTCTGTAGAGCCCGCTTTACCCTACAGAACTAATTATCCCCACAAACTCAGGGTTTTTCATAGCCATCATCAGTGTGGTATCAGATAGGTTTAATAAAGAGAGACATATAGTCCTTTGCTGCCTAAAAAAGAAATCAGAGATTAGTATATGCCACCGTGAACTTTGGCAACCTTGTACTTGTACTTGGCAACCAGAATGTACTAACATGGAACAGATATTGTGAGGTATTGCTAAAGATTTACTTGTGAGTGAAAAAGGGCAGCATATTCTGGGGTGATTTGGGTAATCTTCCACTTCCTTCTTTGACAGAAGAGAAGAAATAGTCTGTTTAGTTTTCAGATTACTATTTTCTCACATCAGACAAATGACTTCAACAGTCATTGAGGTAAGAAAGAAGGTGGCACAAAAGCATACAAACTGTTTTGTCTGATGTTAGAGAATACAAAAAAACTGAGCAAACTGACATTTTCTTCTTCTTCTAAGGAGAAATCAAGCCATGGAAGAGAATCTGTACAAACATGTATTTTGAACTACACTTTTGTTTTCATGCTAAATTTTTAATAAATTTTTACTGCCCATAGTAGGCCTGTTAACTAGCACATAAGTTTCTGAACCTGTTGCCTTTTGGAGGAATTTAATACCAAATGACTCAGAAGTTTTATATATTCTGAAAAATCTTTGAGAAGAAGCTGTGAAATAACACATACCAACACCAGCTGCAGTTATGATTTTTCTAGCCTTTTGGCTCACCACACTGCCCTATTCCTGGCAGCTCACTCTCCACATCACTCCTCAACAGGCAACCCATAATTCTGCAAAAAGTCAAATTTAGAAACAAAGAAGCAATCAAGCAAGCAAACAAACAATCTGAGGACAATGCTTACAGATAAGGCATGAATGTGACTTCATGGGCCGGTTGGTATCACTGTATCTTTGATCATTTCAGTAATACATAAACCCATAACCTTATTAATTACCACACTGAGCTCAGACTTTGCACATGTAAGGTTCAGATTCACAGCTTGTGGCCTCACCCAATTCAGTGAGAACGGTTGTGCAAGTTTTTCTCAGTGTGAATGACATTATTACGTTTGGTATCTCCCATTCACTCTCACCGCAGCCAGATGGAAAATGCACACGGCTGAACCTGGAAGTTCAAGGAAGATCAGTACCTCTGTTGTTCTGATCTTTCTGTGTAGGAATTTAATCAACTTCTCTATCTGCTTTTGTTGTAGCTTTCTTGTAGACTTGTTCCAAGGGCATGGATTAGTGAATTAATAGAGAAAAAGCTAACAAAAGACAATTGTTTACCTGAGCGCTCAAAAATGGTGCCAAGTTCGTATCAACTTGTTTATGCCAGTTGGCTACTTTTTGAGTGAATGTCAACACCATATTTAAACAAAGAGAATGTCAATATGGAGCTGAAGGCCCTTCCATTTCAGTCCTTATAATATTGCTAAATTAGACAATTACTTAAACGTTATTCTCCACTTTCCTGACTAGTACTTCTGCTAAATAGATTTGTATCAGACAGCTTCCCTGTCTATAGTTTTTGATAAATTCATAAAATGTCAGATCGTGAGCACATTCACAGCAGCCTCATTTGCCCAAGAACACTTGAAGGATCTCAAAGGATTTACTACCATTTCTCAGTAAATATTAGAACACATTAAACGATTAAAAACAAAATTCTGGCCAATGAATATCCCTAACACTTTGATCTAATAGGTTGCTTAAACATCAAGCCAAATTCTGATTTCAAATACCTCAGTTTAAATACTCAGTAGATTTTTTGAAATCAATTGAATTATAATGGTTTAAATGAAAATAAATTACGGGAAAGCCTCACTCTATACCTTACTTCTTCACAGTGTAATGAAACCCCATCAGTTTTACCTATGTGGGCTAGTTGTCCCTGTATATGTTTGCCAGGAATATGGATTACATTCAATTCTAAATTAGTAAAAAAGCTAAGTGATTTTTATTCAGAAATAGTTAACGTAATTATTTCCTGTGCATTAGTTGACATTATATATATAGTGATTTTTATTCAAACAACTTGTAGTCCTGAACCAATTTCTGAAATCATGTCTGATACATAAAAGGTTCTCTAATGTGATCTTGCTTCATTAGCAGAGCCTCAGTATGTTCAGCATTAACCGATACAATTAACATCTACCACTTCATTTTATGCTTCTTCACAAGTAGAATGTGCAATGCAATATTTTGCTGTGGTAGGAATGAGGATATTTTTTTCTTTTTTACTTTGCTTTGAACATAGCTATTGCCATGCATGTGTAGGAGAGAGGAGAAACAGCATGAATGATACATGGTTGGTTCTTTATTTCTGTGAGAAGGCCAAGCCAGTTTCCCAGAATGGTCTATCAATACATTAAACTTCTTCATACAGAAAGTTGCAACAGTATGCCAAAGAAACAAAACTGTCAACACTGGACTTCACTCTGAGCTTTAAGTGAATATTTACATGTTTTGGGCTCAGACTGTAAATTGTCTTGAACATATCTTGAGATATTACACAGAAGGTGGCTGCAAGAAGCAAAGGTTGTGAAAGGTTTGGACAGTCATTTCTATAACTGCAGCAATGCGATCTCTACACCTGTGCAGAACATTTCATCAGTAAACCTCAAAGCACTTCACTGAAGAAATAATTGCCCTCTTTAATTCAGAAACTACAGACACCAGAAAATTACATCAGGTACTCTTTCTTCTTGGTTTGCATTAGAAACACATTTTTGCAAAGGCACAGCTTCAAGCTGCATTATTAGGAAGGCTTCTTTGTATTTACTTAAGTGCAGTTTTTCAGATTGAGATAACCTCTGTATTTCTCATTCCTTTTCTGGCTTGGTGCTAGAAAGTAACAGGCTACAGGTCTTCACACACAACAGCTTTTTCACTTAAGATTATTGAAAGAACAGTGATTTATTTGAATTATTTTCTCTGCTGTATCAATTTATATCACTACAGCTTGTTGGTGTCTGCTTGAATAGAGATTTTTAGCATCACACTTGCTTATGACCTTCATTTTCCTTACTTTAGACATCATGGGGAAGAAAAGTGCTGTCTCAGATTACTGGATGGTTTCTTGGTAAATTAAAACTAAGTCCATGGATTTTCAGTGCTGGTTTAAACCCTTTCAGTGAACACCATCCTAAGGTACAGAGAGCAGCCAAATGACAGATCAAACAACATTAAGAGTAAATAGAATGTCAAATATATGGATCGAATGAAGATATTTGAGCCAGAAAGCCTTTGTGCAGGACAATGGAGTCTTTCTGAGGATGCAGATCAAATCTTCATATGTGGATCTTGAAGGAAAAATGGTTTTCTTCAGGGTGGCAATAATCCTACTTCCTAGCAGAGCTACAGAGATGACTTTTAGGCATGTGCCAGCAAGCTGGGACACAAAAACACATCAGCATATTTGTTTATAACATTTTTCATTACTAAACCATTTTACATTATAGTTCAAACCCCTGAATTTTGCTTGGAAATCAGGCTTGTTTATTTCTTTTCTTTTCTTTTCTTTTCTTTTCTTTTCTTTTCTTTTCTTTTCTTTTCTTTTCTTTTCTTTTCTTTTCTTTTCTTTTCTTTTCTTTTCTTTTCTTTTCTTTTCCAGACTTCTTCCTTATATAGAGTTGTTTCACTGTTTCAAGAGTTACCAGCAGTGTAAGATCCCTCTGGACTTCTCACAAGGAAAAAGGCATGGTATTTTTCAGAAGTTTCATTCTTTTGAGGACTGAAAAACTTTTAAGAGAACAGAGCTGCTCTTGAGGACTTACTATAGTATTGAGAGCAAGAAATGAAACCCTTTCTTTCTCACAACCTTCTTACTTGTAACTCATCATCATCAAGAGGTAAATTCTTCCGGCTTTTTTGGTTGTTTGGTTTTTTTAAATTTTTACCTCTGCCACAAAACACCACCACCTATGAACACTACATGATAAGACTGGGCTTAGGAAAAGAAAGACCAATGGAAAAAAATTCAAAGAGATCCAGCAGGGATTTTATCCCTCAGGAAGGCTCTATGGAGCTGCTCAAAACAAATATGAGAAGAAAGTTTTTTGTCCTGGATATTCAAAATTACTTTAATAAATGATACATAAGTGAAATTATATGTTTATCACACTGTGCTAAGGAAAGGTACTAAGTATTCTTGACCTAGAAAGTATGAAACTGTTAAAAGGTATCAGGTATGACGAGGAAGCTTATGAAGTTCTTACAAGAGACCTCAATTTTATAGGCAGTCTCAAAGTCTTAGGGAACCTCTTGTTCAGCATCTGTGACAGACATGAGACACTCAAACCTGAACAAAATGTTTACATAGAACCCAGTTTTAAACTCAGAATAAAAAAGGAGTGGTGAATTCCAGAATGTAAATGGACTGGGCTGTAATTAGGACCCCACATTTACCCTCCAGGGCAGAACAGTAAGGGACTACATGACCAAACCACTAACTCTTGGGAACATAAAGAAACAAGACAGATTTGGAAACTTAAGTCTGCAAAATCAACAGGATGAGTTTGGAAAAG